GTCAAATCTAAGACTGTATCCATCGGTTCATTGAAAATTGTCAAACAATTATTATAGGTAGTACGTAAGCCTTTACTCTCACACCTTAACTGAAATAGGATGCAGAATCATAAGCATGCATAGATTTCGTCAACTATTTTCAGAATTCACATACTGCTTTGAATTGAGTTACTACGTTGAGCGAGCTGGCTCACCCCATAAGCAAGCTTATGATCCTGCTCGCTTGGCGAGTACAAGTCGAGCGATTCGACTTGCTCTATTTAACATACACTTCAGTTATCAAGTTATCGTGATTTAAATTTTCAAAATTCAAAAATATCATGATTTAAATGATTTTCTCGTCAAACAAAACAAAATTTGGTGGAACATGTAAGGTGCGTATTATGGAAAATTGTATCATATAAAGGGACAAATCTCATGAAAGATGCCAGATGCCTTTAACAGTATTATGGGAAACAAACAATTTTCCTAATTATTTAAAATATCGGAAATACGTTGTAATTAATCTGAAGATGTGCGTAATTTTTCAGTAGCTTGCTGTCTCATATTTGCAAATATTTTATGGAAGATATAAATTTTAGTATGAATATCATGTCAGGTTAACATGTTAATCTGAAAGTTTAGTCTCCGCTTGAAAGAATTTATAAATTATTTAAATTATAAATAAATAGAATGCGTGGTAACTAAGTAGATAATACTTATAGTGCATTAAAATGTGTAATTGAAAACTAAGTTCCCATTTGATTTTTATCGGATTTTTTGTAGATCTTGATAAAAACTAATGAAATATATAATTAAAATTAATTATTGACTTTTGACTTAGATTTTAATTCAATTTTTCTACTTGAATCAAATAGAGACTAAATTTATCAATTTATAAATGATTTATGAATTTAGTCAAACGAAGGCTATAAGCTTTTAAACAATGGTTACCTAAACTTTTTTAAGTCCCTATTTTATTTTGTTGTAAAATTTGATGAAATGTGTATTTAAGAAGTTGATAAAAATTATGGATTTCATTATATGTGATTAAAATTAATTTTTTATTTTAGTTTCGATTTTTATCGAGTTTTTTAGCTAAATCAAACTATAACTAAGCCCCTGTTCGTTAAATTAATTTTTAGTAAATTTTGCTAAAAGTTGATGAAATTTGTAATTGAAAAGTTAACTAAAAAATAATGAGGAGAATACAGGTCTTTTTGCGTGATTCCAATATCATTTTACCACGTTTGATAACCATTATTTTGAGAAAATTTAGTTTTGAATATTAATTTTTTGGAGATTGTATGATAAAAAAGTAGAAAAAATTTGAGTGTACGTGCAAAATATTTTATTGTGGAAATGT